AAAAAAAAAAAAAAAAAAAATCAAACTCAAAAGAGCAACAACTCACCTACTCATAATAAAAGGTGTGATCTTGATAACCAAACCCGGGAACACGTCATCCGGGTCGTGGATATGCGGGTTTTCCTCGACGATAAACGGGTCACCACACTTTTCGCTTATCGTGTGTAGGGTCTCGCCTTCCCTTACAACATAGATTTCATCACACGGTCTCTCGCCCGAAAACACATTCTCCGGGAGCTCCCCGCCCAACTCGCTCGACTCACAAAAGCTCAAAAGGAGCATTAGAGCCAATAGCAACGACACGTGCCACGAGACGGTTTCTGCTAATTCCATAGACGGGTCGACCCGGATCATATTTAGTTTGGTTTTGATGAGTGAGATGTATTGTTGGGGTTATTATTTATAGGAGGAGTATATATATAGATGACTTGATGATAGTCTTGATTTTATTTGATTTGAGAAAAAAGTATGAAATGGTTGTTGGAGTTGGTGCAATAGTATATTATTTTTTTTATTTTTTTTTTTGGCCATTAGGTTTCTAGTCAAGGAAAAATTGGGAATTTGAAATTGTCATTATATATGGTTTAGGAAGTTTGGAAAGTGCCAATAACATGGTTATATATACATAGGAGATGTTACGATCCCGTTATGAAACCATTTCATCAGGGTTTGCAACCGTTATATCAATTATCCCGACAGTTACATAATGATCTAACGTTTACGAACCCGACGGAATGATTCCGTAACGGGACCGTAGCATTTCCCTATATACATAGTTATTGGACTGATATTTGGGGGTATGATAATTAATCATATAAGTTTGCTATTTATTTTTGGACATTCATGGTACAGATTGTGACAATTTTGAAATGTTCCGACGACAAGAGCTAGAAATTAATTACAAGATTATTATTGTTGTCCCTATCTATATATATATATAATTACTAGCTAATCCTATTTAATAAAACATTCAATAAAAAACATTTCACTTTCTCTCCAAAAGAGGTTACATTTTTTTTTTAATTAATTACTCATTAATCCCACATTTAAGAAGGTTTCTTTTAGTTAAACCTAATTAGTTATAAATTGAATAAGCAATTAAAGTTATAAAAAATATTAATAAATATAATAAATACAAACATTATAATACAGATCATGTTACATTACAATAATATTTTTTTTTTTTTTTTTTTAATTTAATTTCCAGCTATGCTCCATCAAACATATAGCTGCAAAATGATAAGAAAGATTAGTTTCATAATTAAAATAAAATTTAGTTCCCCCAAATGGTAAAACTTTATAAATTAGTAGTATATATACATTTAAATGACATATAATTTATAAAGTTAGACTATACGCATAATAAGATGAATTAAAAAAAGTTATGAAGTAAATAAATAAATTAACAGTCTATATAATTATTATAGCAAAGTCTATATTGTCAATATTATCATTTAAAAGTTCATTGAAAAAACATATGTATAAAAAAAAGTCATAGGATCATAATTAATAGTGCAAAATTGACTATCTTTGACTTTCCATTTGGTAGTAATAATAAAATATTTTATATTACTACTATTCAATAAAATGCATGATTTCTGCAGATTTGATTATCGCAATCAACATTCTGTTTTATAAATTAAAAAGTGTGTTGAATAAATTGTCTCATATTTTTATTAAAAAAAAAATTGTTGGCGTGAAAAAAATATTATTTCACAATTATAATTATAAATATGATTAATTTTCACTAAACAATTTTTCTTTAAGAAAAAAGTGGCGGTCCAAAATTTTGCATGATTATAGCATCAAAACATATCCAAAACATCAATATTTTAAGGCATAAAAACCATACTTTCAGCAACAGAAAAGTCATATTAAACGGAAATTGGCAAAGTCAAAGAATGAGGATTGACAAGGCATTATATGTAATGGCAGATTGTTGTATAATATAGAAATATCAAGCATAATTAATAATCAACAAAAAAAAGTCAAATCTATATGAAAAAAAATCATGATTAAAAACACAACAAATTATGTGGAACATTATTGGACACTATACAATATAGAAAGAAAAATAATGTGATCTCCCTATTATTATCAACACATTCAACTTTTACCAAGACATCTGCCTTTATATTAAAATCGATTTTTTGCGTAAAAGTTTTAAAAATAAAAATTCCTACAGATTCTTTTAAACATTAAACAAGAAATTCATAATATTCGAGAAATATATGTAAAGTGTAAACAGATTTGTTATAAACTTACCTAATATTTCCAAATTTTGAACAGAATACTAAAAACTTAGAAAAAACTTCGGCAAAAGACTTTGAACAACTTCGAAAAGCGATTTTGAACAAGTGTTAGCAAAGCTTCACTTACTGTTATGATGAGAAAGACGAAAAAGAATTGAACTATTTACTGTTCAAAATCTGAATAAAATACATAAAAGTTACATATGTATGTTATAAATATATATGAACATATATGTTATAGACTTACCTATATATTTGTTAGTAGAGCTGAACAGATCTGTTAGAAACTTACCTATTTTTCAGACCCTGAACAAAATACATACAAGTTTGAAAATGTTCGACCAATGTCATGTTCTCTTTGAAAAACGATTTCGAAAAACATCTAGATAATATCGAATTATGTATAAAATATGATATAACTTTGAAGCTTATTCAAAAATAATTTCGAAAAACGACACAAATCATTGAAAATAATAAAAAATAAAAACTATGTTTAACAAAAAATATTTCAGCTCTTCATAGATTTGTAATATTATCGCCCGATTTTGACCGACCTATTAAAATTTAGCAACACAGATTAAGAAATCGGGACGGATATTTATTTTTTGATCACTACTGTTAGCCACAAAAACAACATTTCTCGGATTTTTTTTTTTAAGCCTTTACTGGGAGAAAATCACCGGTAAAATATTTTTTTTGTATTGAATCTCGCCGAGTTTGTCGTAAGATCGGGTTAAGGATTAGGGTTTCAGACATAATGAATAACGAAAGAAGCACCGACATCAAACAAAAAAATTAGCTTACATCAATCAAGGAGTTTATCTCTATTTATAGTCATGTTTTCATTGACCTATTTTATATTTGATTTTGGCTACCCTAAAAAATTCAGTGGACTTCTAATTTGGGCCTTTTTTTATCATTAAATCGCCCAAAAATTGTCACTTTGTTCAAATGTCTTAAATATTTGGCACATATCATTATTTATCAACCAAATACAATTATTTATTTTGTAATATTTTGCTGGTATTTTTATAGTAATTTTTTTTTTTAAAAAAAAATTTCCTATATGATCTATAACACAAAATACAATAATTATTTTAAAAATAAAATCATTATATGTCTTAATTTGAAGATAGTGATTTGTAGTGATGGAGATTCTATTGATAGACAAATCACAAACGTTGTATATAAAGAATTGTTTAACAATATTTAGTTATTCTTTTTTAGAACATTTTTCCAATAATTATATTATGATTTTTACTATTGTTTATATCTTTTCATTATTTTTTGTTCTATTATAATGCTTTCCGTGCAAATGCACGGGTTAAAAACTAGTTGTTTTTAAATGTGTAGTGTCATGTTTTAAAGCAACATAAAGGACAATATTTAGTTCAGTTAGTTGAGCATAACTAATATATGTAAAGATAACAAATAGAAGACTAACATACTTTTAAAAAAAATAAATTATATAATAAATATAAGAAAAAGTTATACTTAAATAATGTTAAGAAAATAAATAAAAAAAAGTGGCATTTCACAATACAATTATATATTTTTAGGGAAATGCTGCAGTCCCGTTACGTACGCAATCATTATGTCGGAATTTGTAACCGTTATATCATCATGTAACCGTCGTCGTGGATAGTTGATCTAACGGTTACAAATCCTGACAGAATAGTTTCGTAACGAGACCGTAGAATCTCTCATATTTTTATATTAAAAAAATAAAATAAAATTGTAGAATCGACCGATGAATCATGCACTTTCAATTATCTAAATATAAAACCCTTGGCCTTGAGTTTGTGATTTGATGACCTAAAGTTTCAAAGATTAGGAGTTGGTTAGCTGCTTCTATTAAATGCTCTTACCAAAAAATATTGGCATTTTGACTTGGTTTCAATTTTCATGTTCTAAAATAGTCAAGAGTCCTAATTCTTCACGACTTTTTCTTATCATTGTTAGGGTATTTTAAATTGCATGAGATTGGATTGGGTCAGATCAGAGTTATATTTTTCAAAATTGGTAATAAAAGCCGGCCAAAATGGTTCAGTAATTTAATTGATTTTTTCATTAATAATAGTAATAGTTTGGCTGCATTAATTATTGAATAGTACCAATAATTACTACATCCTATTTTTAATATATATATGTCGTTTTGAGAAGTTGCACACTAATTAAAAATATTTTTTTTTTCAATAATAACCTTATTTAATGAATATAGAGATGAATGTTATGAGAAAAAATGAAGAGGGAATATGAAAAATGCAATGTATTTATTGGCTAAATGAGGATAATAATGAAAAAATATGTATAAAAGATCCAAAACGATATTTATTTAGCAAATAGTTGATAAAGCTAAAATGACATTTAAAAAAAAAAAAATAGGAGAGAGTATCAATCAACCTTTTTTAAGCCTAATTATTAGATAATAATATTTTTCTTAAGAACATGAAAAAATAAGGAAGCTTTCATTAACATCTCTGTACCAACATATTCCAATAGATCTGATTCAGATCAGTTACATGGAGAATGTCCAAACTCCAAATGATGTTCCAATCACAAGAAAAATAATCCCACAAATTTCCACAGTTATTTTTCCCCAAATTTATAATTATATTAATAAAACGTCGAATATACATTTGAATCAGGGCTTCATCAAAATCTCGTTCACATATTTAAGCACCTCTTTAGAGTCGACTGTCCACGCTACTGAAACTGGAGAAAGGCCCGACCACGGGTTGTTTGAGTTCCATCTGAATGCATCAAATTAAATACCAATGCAATTTAGATCACATTAGCCAAGCAATTTGCCCCCAAAAAAAAGTGCAATTATTTAAATAACTAAATATATAAAAAGCATACTTCTTTAATCCCTGGTCCATAAGCGTATGCCCGACACATATACCCTGTGTCTCAACCCTAACAACTCCTTTCTTGAAGGTGAAGAGATCGGGTCTCACTAGCGCCACAAAACTCACGGGATCGTGAAGGAAAATTCCTGAGTCGTGTCCAACTTAAGAGTAAGTCATATAAATATTTGAGGCAAAATTACAGTTTTAGTCTGTCTTGCTGGTTTAACATCATGACAATTTTAGTCTAAGT